TTGGATGCAAGGTGTGACCTCATCCTAGGAATGGCATGGTTGGAACACCATGAGCCATAAATTGATTGGAGGTCAAAGATCTTGGGCGCTACGCGCACGTCTCTTGGTGGAGCTCTGGCGAGTCATGACCCCACCTCTGCTAGTAGACAAAAGCGCTATTGGCGAGAGCGCTGGACCGAGACGGTCAACGTGCTAGACATTTGAATGTCCGAGTTGGTAGACACTAACGGTGTATCGGACAGGAGTCCCGAGCGTAGCGACAGCTGCTCAAGTTCCGAGCTGTCGCTGCATGTCATGCGTGACATGGTTGGCCAAGGGTCGAGGAATCGGGGGCGAGACCCCTGTGATGCACGTGAAGTGGCACAAAAACCACTGAGCACTGCTCTCGTTGCCAAGCAGTCGCTGCATGCCATTGATGGCGTGACCGGACAGAGGCATCGTGGGCACGACCCTTTAGATGCGCGTGGAGTGGCACGTTATCCCATGGACGAAGACTGCGGGGTTAGCAGCTCTTCGTCGGATGTTGTAGATAACATAGATATCATCGGAGCTCCAAAGGAGCTAACAGTGAGGGTGACACCGGACGACGCGGAGTGCGCGTTCACCCTGGTCTCAACGAGACATAGAACCTCTGTTCAGAGGCGACGGCGACGCCGTATGCTTGCTGCATGACGCCGGGCGTCGGCCCTGATCCAAAGTGTGTCTACCGGAGACGATGATACATAGTTATACACCCTCGTCAACGGTATGACGGGGGGGGGCAAAGATGGCGACGTCCGCCTCGAGGCTATGCCTGCAGTAGATGATCTTTTTGAGCTGGACGAGATGTCCCTTGAAGAGTTCGGCAGTGCCTTGAAGGCGGGCGTGGCCAAATTGGTCATTGTACGTCCGGACGAGGAGATAAACTCGTCATCGCTTCTGAATGAAGCTGGAATTGGAAGACACCAAGAGAGTGCTGAACGCAAGGAGTGGATCGTCGATCCTACGGAATCCCTTGGATCCGTACTATCCTTTAGTAAACGAATTTTAAAGACTTCGTCTCAAAAGACCCCGCCTTCAGTCCTACCTCCGGACCGAGGTGTGCGTCATAAAATCGACCTGGTTCCGGGGACCAAATACTGCGTAACACGCCAATGGCGCCTGTCCAAGGAGCAGTGCGACGTCATTATTGCCTTTTTTCTTGCAAAGCACGACGCAGGGATTGTACATGATAGCAAGTCTCCCCATTCGACACCCACGTTTTGTTTTCGA